TAATTATTGTTGCTGTTGTGTGAATAAAGAAAAAGAGACCTCTGATTGATGAAAAGAAGGAAAACTGGGTCAATGTGACTATACTCTGGTGCTTCAGAGTATATCACCCCCTACAAAGTTAACCCTGATCATTAAAGCCATCTAATAAAATGTAGAATTATTTTATTACCGTATTGTTCCTTTCAAATAATGTATAGGCAATAATGGTCTCCTTTTACTGGTGTTATGCTTCAAGTCCTCTTCTATTTTCTGAGTACGGACCAAATCATTTCAGGACAATTTTAATAAGCCGCAGGTCAGACGTAGATTATGTTGCATACTGTTAGCATCTAAATCCTCCCAAAAAACTGTAACTCCAATCCTTGGAGGGTGATAGGCTCACAGATACAGAATGATCTAAAGAACTGCAGTTGACCAAGGTTGGGAAGTCTTTTGTTATCCTGGATGTTTTTTGGTCCTGTTTTTCTTCCTTGTGCATCAAGTCATTATGCATTGACTTCCCATTTCAAATTAGTTTGGAAAAGGAAATGTAAATATGGAAATGTGGACACAAATCAATTTCCTAAGCTCAACATGGTTTAAAACAACTATGGAAACCCAACAGCTGCAATAGCTTCTAAACCACATGAAAATGAACACACAGCTTTCAGTTTCCAGGAAATGCCACCTGCACAAGGAGGCCTTGGAAGGTCATGACCGGGACGTGGGTGAGGTCAAGCACCCTGCCGAAACCACCTGTGCACAATTGTGTGGTGGAAGTTGCGTGAAGAAGTGACGACCATCAGGCTGGGAAGCAAGTGTTTTGCCTCTCACTCCTTCTCCATTGTTTGAATACAGTCCACACGATTGATTCTAAAATCACCTACAGATACAGAAATCAGTAGTTGCTCAAGTCCCTTGAATAATGTGGCATAGTGTTTGTACATTAGGTCTGGCAGTTTGTGCGTGAGTTGAGATGCCCACATAACCTGTTGGGAAGGATGGGTTCAATACCCAACTCTTATTTCCAGCTTCTGGATCACGCAGTGCCTGGGAGGCAGCAGTGGTACTGGAAGTGATTGTGTTTCTGCACTTGTGTCCAGGCCCCTGGCTTTGAACCAAGCGAGAGGTCCATAGATGTTGTTAGGAATTGAGCCGACAGATTGAGCAATCTCTTCCTCTCTGCTTCTCAAATAATTAAACAAAATGTGAAATAATGAACTTGAATTCACTTCTTTTTAAAAATTTATTTATTTGTTTTTATTGGAAAGATAGATTTACAGAGAGAAGGAAAGACAAAAAAAAAAAAAAAAGCTCTTCCATCCGCTGGTTCATTACCCAAATGACTGCAATGGCAGGAGCTGAGCCAGTCCAGAGCCAGGAGTTCCCTCCAGGACCTGCATGTGGGTGCTGGGACCCAAGGACTTGAATCATCCTCCATCACTTTCCCAAGACATAAGCAGAGAGCTGGATGGGAAGTGAAGCAGCTGGGACACAAACCAGTGTCCATATGGGATTCTAGTTTTACCAGCAGAAGATGAGCCTGTTACACCATGACACCAGTCCCTGTTCTTGATCATTCTTGGAAGTGTCCATGTTTTCATTTTTGTTTGGGTATTCTTCATGAATTATTTTTGAGAAATTTCGGCTGTTTCAGTTAGGTACCATTTTGCCACTTAGTGCATCTAAATCACAAACTCCAACACTTTTTACATGATTTGAGAATTTGTGACTAATAAATATTTTGCTAATGAATGATGATTGTGTCTCACAGATATTTTGTTGGTAAGTGAATGACTCTTGTCCTTAATTGCAGAGCCCAATCTCAAATTTTGGAATGGTGGTGGCTGAATCCAACAACCGATTCTGAATTCAGTACATTGCCGTCTCCCCAGTGATTGTTGTAGTGAAGTCCCTTGTGTTTGTGGTGACAAAGTGTAGGGAATTTGGGGAATATCCATTAGTGCTCACGTGTGGATGCTGATTTTATCGACTCAGTAATCCCAAAAGAAATTCAGATTTACCATGGTAATATTTGTCATGGAAGTTTTACAGTTAAAACATGGTATTTGAGAAGCTGTAAGGTCTTGCCTAGTTTGCATATTCTTGGTATCCAAGCCAGCCATGGGATCCCTTCTCTGTGCCATGATGGCTCATGTGGGTGTCCAGAGCCACCTGCTGTGTGCAGCCAAGAGTCACCCGTGAGCAATCCTCGTTCCCAACCCCGTGTCTCCTGACCTGCAAGTTGACAGTCTGAATTGCGATGTGTCAGAAGTATTTTCACTATGGAAACAGACAAATGTTTGCACTTCAGGTGATTCCAAGAGCTGGCTCTTAAATATTGCCCAGAGTGTCCGTGTTTGTTCCCTGCCCCCAACCGTTCTCCTTATCACTCTGCTCTTTGTCTGCTGTTGGAGCTTGGAGGCAAAGAAGTCTGGAGTTAGACTTCTGGATTAGGGTAGAGTCCTCTATGTAGCCATGGGACTTTGAATATATTATGTGACCTTGCTAGTGCCCAGTATCCTTTTTAGAAAGACAGGGCTAGCATAGGGCCCCTTCCCCCAAAGCTCTGAAGATGAATGCACAGTAAGCATGTAACAGGGCCTGGAACTTGGTTCGTGCTTAGTAAGTGGGACCCGCTAGGTCAGTTTTCCCTAAGTACTTACTGATAGTCACTTGCTCGTCCAACAAATACACATGGAATGACTATTTGAAAAATGCTTGTGGTTCTCCCTGTATAGTTTTGCGATATCCAAAGAGACAAGAACAAAACACCACCCTGAAATTCTGAGTTTTCAGATTCCATCTTTGATGTCACATGTTAAGTCTGGGCTTTTGATGGAGGTCTTGGTTGGCCATCAACAGAAGCAACAACCCCTGAGTTTGGTTGTCTTCTCATCTCCTGTTGGAGAACTTAAAAAAAAAAAGATTTATTTATGATTTTTAAAAATATATATATTTATTTATTGTTATTGGTAAGTTAGATTTATAGAGAGAAGGAGAGACACAAAGATCTTCCATCTGCTGATTCACTCCTCGAATGGACACAATGGCTGGAACAGACTGATCCAAAGCCAGGAGCCAGGAGCTTCTTCCAGATCTCCTATGCGAGTGCTGGATCCTGAGGCTTTGGTTCATCCTCTGCTGCTTTCTCAGTCCACAAGCAGAGAGCTGGATGGGAAGTGGAGCAGCGGGGACACAAACCAGTGTCCATATAGGACGTCAGCTATTACGGAGAATCAGCCAACTGAGCCATGATGCCCGTCCTGTCTTAGAGAAGCTTCATGCCCCCAACTCCTGTCTTCCTAAGTATCTCCCTAACTCTTCCATTTCCTTCTATTTTTCTACCAAACTCTTTTCATAGTACATCTGCTCTGCCTTTGTGCCCATCCCTGGCTGGAGGCTTTCTCTACTATGTCAAAATCACCTGCTAACTGCCTTCTCTGACCAGGACCCAGGAGAAGAAGGCCCTCAGAGCTCATCGTCTGGCAGAAGTGCTGGCCAAGGTTGTGAAATAGCTCTGCCTTTTTTTCTCTTGTTGGTTCCCACCCAGTTCTTGTTGTCTACTCAGCATCAGGTGCCAAAAGGGGATTTCACACATTAAGTAACCTTCCTCATTGCAGTCTTCCTTTAGTGTGAAAATGGATATTATAGAAAAGCTGGTCTTTTTAGATTTCATATCCTTTCAGGGTCTGACAGTGAAAGGGGCACTGAGTGGAAGTTACTGACAGTAAAGACATGCAGTGCACAGAGGCCATGTTCCGCTCTTTCAACACTGAGTGTTCATGAGAAATCAGTGCTCCTGCTCTCTGCACTCGCACACAGGGTTCTTGTAGAATTCTTCATACTTTCCAACAGTTTTTCAATATTTGAGTTGAGGTGCTGCTTTCAAATGGAAGTACTCTAACTGGGTACAAGTTGTTACATGTTGGAAACCATTTTTGCCATTGGTTTTTTTTTTAAGATTTATTTTATTTTTATTGGAAAGTGAGATATACAGAGAGGAGGAGAGACAGAGAGGAAGATCTTCCATCCATTGATTCACTCCCCAAGCGGCCGCAATGGCTGGAGCTGTGCTGATCTGTAGCTAGGAGCCCAGAGTCTCCTCCGGGTCTCCCATTTGGGTGCAGGGTACCAAGGCTTTGGGCCATCCTCGACTGCTCTCCTGGCCACAAGCAGGGAGCTGGATGGGAAGTGGGGCTGCTGGGATTAGAACCAGTATCCATATGGGATCCGCATGCATGCAAGGCAAGGACTTTACCCACTAGGCTACCATGCCCTGCCATTGATTTTAAACTAGAAAAGTTGCTACATGAACAAGTAATAATTTTAAGCTGACTCTTTTCCAATTCATTTAATTAAATGGCTGTACTTGAAAAATGCTTTCATATATTTTATTACAATAATTTGTCACAATTAATATACCATCTACTTTATTGTTTCTAGGAGATGTACTAATTGCTATAATGCCCGGCCCCTTGTCATTATGTTTTGGGCAGTCTAAAGCCTTGTACAACCATCCAATTATTTTTAAATTGAAGTAGCATATTTTTATATATTTAATATTTCAATTGTGCAATTTTCAAATGTGGTTTTAGATCAGGCTTTTTTTTCCCCCCAAGGCAGTCAGGCTTAATTCTTGATTGAGAATGAACATATAATAAAGTTTTTTTTAGGTTTGGGGCTGGCACTGTGGTTCAACATGCTAACCGTCCACCTTCAGGCACTGTCATGCACTTTGGGCACCAGTTTTAATCCAGGCTGCTGCAGTGCCCATCCAGCTTCCTGCAATGGGAAAGCAGTAGAGGGTGGCTCAAGTCCTTGGGTCCCTGCATCCATGTGGGAGGCCTGGAAGAAGCACCTGGCACCTGGCACCGTAACTCTGGCTGTTGCAGCCATTTGGGAAATGAACTAATAGATGGAAGAGCTCTCTCTCTCTCCTCCTCTCTCTCCTTGCTTTGTAACTCTTCCAGGCAGAGGTCTGCACTTCTGTTGGGTAATTGCCTATGTCTCTTTCTCAGTGATACAGGAACAACACCTCCAGAGAGTGGGATTTTTGGATTTATGATCAACTTCTCTGCATTTCTTGGTAAGCATACATTGCTATAAACACAAGAGGGCAACAGCCTAGATAATGTCTCTGTATGTGAATGGGTGGGTATGTGTGGGTCTAAACTGGACAGAGGGGAAGAGGCAGTAGGGAAGGACAGCAGTGCCTATGCAGGAGTATTTTGTATTTATTTGAAAGGCAGACTTACAGAGAGGACAGAGAGATCTTCCATGCACTGGTTCACTCCACAAATGCCCACAATGGCTAGAGCTGCGCCAGTTCTAAGCCAGGAGTCAAAAGAAGAAACTCCACCTCTCCCCATGGGTGCAGCGGCCAAGGCATTGGGCCATGCTCTGCTGCTTTCCCAGGCCACATGCAGGGAACTAGATTGGCAGTGGAGCAACCTAGACATGAACTAGCACCCATATAGGACGCAGGCACCGCAGGCAGAGGATTAACTCACTGTGCCACTTTGGCAGGCCCCAGTCAGGACATTTTCAGAAAGCGGCATAAATCTACGTCCTTTTAAAAGAAAATCAGATAATGAAGGTGTATCGATGTACCTTTCTCTTTCAGGTGCAGCCACGATGTACACAAGATATAAAATCGTAGAGAAGCAAAACCAAACTTCGTACTTCAGCACGCCTGTTTTTAACTTGGTGTCATTAGCCGTTGGACTGGTGGGATGTATTGGAATGGGCATTGTAGCCAATTTCCAGGTATGGCATGAGCAGGTTTGGGGCTACCAGGATGATATCCACGTGTCTGGGAACTCAGCTACTTGTGCCCAGGCTGCCTTCAGATGACTGAAGGGTTTAAATCTTTCCTATTTGAATGTCAGCATTGCATGGTATTTGGGAGAGATAGGTGTACGTTTGCCCAAGTTTGAAGGGGGCTGCGTGCTCCGTAAGATGCCTTGGGCCACGCTGTTGTGTGCTGTTATTGATGTTGTGTGATTTGTTGGGAGCAGTTTTCTTCAGCCCTTGTAATTATTTTGCTACGAGTGTGAGAATATCTCTGTGTGTTGATTCTTACCAATTCTGCCCTTTGATCCTCTGGGGTTTAACTGGTGGCATCTGCTCTCTTCATTTTCAAGGTGAGAATAGAGGCTTGTGGAAGCTAAATAAGTTGTTGGAGTTATTCGTCTAACTCATTACAGAGCTAAACTTATATGAGCGCCAGAGTCAACCAACTCATCTAGTGACCATTGTAGAGACTGTTCCATAAATTCATATCGTATCAGATGTTTAAGAAAAGCATCATTCTAGTCTGTGGATTCCTGTTCAGTTCTAGATATCTTTCAGGAAAACATTCTAGCTGCTGAATTTCAGAGTAATGCTAACAAGCGCAGTGTCCACCTTGTAGGAGTGTTGAAATGATTCAATGAGGTGATGAGCAGCAGCCAGAACTCTGCATTGCGTCAGTGTCACGATCATTGTCAGTTCATCACTGTAAGCTGGAAGGAGCCCTGCCGTGTCACCTCCTGTCTCCACGTGAGAACAGAACAGTTGGCTCAGGGTATCTTTCACATCTGCCCAGAGGTAATTCTTTAGCTTGCCTCCCATCTGAGGTGGGATGGTTTTGTGTGTTGTTTATTTTTGCAGAGAGCAGCTTTCACTGCTAACGGACTCATGTCCATGTGTGAAGAACCGCAGCCCTCCGCTTGTAGAATCTGTGATATCTCCTTTCTCTAACTGGTGCATGAAGCTGAGCATTGTCAGAGCCTGGTCTGCACCGTGCGGCCTTGGGCCTGCCGTCTGTTGATGACGGTGGGAGGATATTATAAAGAAGGGCCCCAGAATGCTCAGGCTGATCGAGGGAAAGCACCCTTCCTTATTTTTATACCATCATCAAGAAAATTCACAGGGCAAAGATGAACTCTTTTTTACATTAGATCTTAGCCAAAAGGCTGAGAAGCAATAAAGATGAACACTTTTTCTTAAAAAAAAAAAAAAAAGATGTTTTTTTATTGGAAAAGCAAATCTACAGAGAGAAGGAGATAAAGATCTTCTGTCCACTGGTTCACTCCCCAAACGATCACAATGGCTGGAGCTGAACCAATCTGAAGCCAGGAGCCAGGAGCATCTTCTGGTCTCCCACGCAGGTGCAGGGTTCCAAAGCTTTGGGCCATCCTCTACTGCTTTCCCAGGCCACAAGCAGGGAACTGGATGGGAAGTGGAGATTGCAGTAGCCAGGATACAAACCAGTGGCAATAGGGGACCCTGGCACATGCAAGGCGAGAACATTAGCCACTAGGCTACTGCGTCATACCCCAAAGATGAATTCTTATGTCTAAGAGCCAACCAATCTTAGTATGATGAATGCTGTGATTATTCATGTTTCCCTGTTAGCAATAGAAGCCAGAGAGATGAGGACCAAATCTGTGGCCTCCTGCAGCTGGTGCCTAGGGCTTTGTGTTTCTGCTGAGTGTGTGTGTGTGTGTGTGTGTGTGTGTGTGTGTGTGTGTGCTGGAGGTAGATTTTGTGAGCTACATTTGCTTCTGGCTCCAGTTTATTTTCCTGTCTTTCTAGTCCCCAAAAGGAGAAACAGGACAACCACAGAGTCGCAGTGAGCTGAGCCCGGTGGCCGGGGCTCCCACTGGCATTTCTTTGTACGGCACAACAATATTCTATTTTGCATAACAGCAAACATCCATTTGCATCTTTCTATGCAACTGTATGTTTAGAGATTTCACTCTAGTAAAATCCTTATAACACAAAGACAGTCATTCCTCCCACCGAGGGGAATTGTTGCTGCACAGTGAAGGTGGGCTTCGAAGTGAGATAGGCTGTGCTGGTCCTGCTGGAAAGAGACATCCTCAATGCCAGGAGGAAGCAAATCTGTGGGCGCCCTGCCAGTGCAGGACACAGCCCTGCATGCCACCAGCACAGCGGGAGATAGCAGGGAAAGCGATGGCAGCCGTGCGGAGTGTGCACACTTTCATTGTTCCCTGAACAACACAATGCAATGACTACGTGGCGTAGCACTTACATGGTGTTAGGTGTGACAAACCTGGATTGGAGGATGTGTGTGGGTTATATGCAGATGCAAAACCATTTTTACATAAGCAATGCGTGCAAAGCCCGATACCCTTTGCTCCCTAGAGATACCAAGGAGTAACTCCAGCTGAGAGCTCTACTGCTATGACCGGACAATACGAGCATCATGATAGATTTGTCTAGAGCAGTATGGCTGTGAGTCGTTGAGTGGGAGTAGCATATGCTATACCTAACGTGGGGTCCTCTGGTTCACCCAGCATACAGATGTCCTTGTTCCAAGCCCTGAAAGCATGCCTTTAACTGGCTGTTTGGTTTTCTATAAAGCTTTACAAACACCACAAAGGGGAACCCTTTTTAACTCCCCAGGGAGCCAAGTGTTTACTTTCTCACTGTTCCCATAAATGTATCTTTACAACTTCCTTGTTTGATATCCTGTAATTCATTTTCAGCATGCCCCGAGCCAGCCAGCTTGAAGGGTCAAGAGCGGGGGCGTGACAGCATCTGGTGGTTTTCTTAGTCACAAACGTGACATTTATGAGAAGTTCGCGGACAGCTGTCTTCTCCTCATGAGGGGGTGGGACGACCACATTTTGGTGTGCCTTCATGAATTTCTGTGTTCTATTTGCCCTCAAAAAAGTTTTATCTTCAAATCCTCTTACTTGAGACATCACAGATTGGGCCTGCGGACATTATGTTAAGTGTAATAAGGCAGATAACAGGAAGACACACACCGTCTAAGCATCACATAGTACATAGAATCGAAAGAAATTCAACTTGCAGTCGAGACCACACTGATGGCTGCTGGAGTGGGCGTGAGGTGGAGGGCAGGGAGCAGGGAATGGGAGATGCTGTCCAAAGGCACGAGTTCCAGTTAGGATGAACTTCTGGGGATCTGCTATACAGCACGATGATGGATGCACCATTCTTATTAATACTTGGTATAAGGAATAAATAACAATCAAGCAATGCATTTTGTTTGTTTTGTTAAGATTTTACTTATTTTATTGGAAAGGCAGATGTACAGAGAGGAGGAGAGACAGAGAGGAAGATCTTCCATCCGATGATTCACTGCCCAAGTGGCCACAATGGCCGGTGCTGTGCTGATCTGAAGCCGGGAAACAGGAACTTCCTCCAGGTCTCCCACATGGGTGCAGGGTCCCAAGGCTTTGGGCCGTCCTCGACTGCTTTCCCAGGCCACAAGCAGGGAGCTGGATGAGAAGTGGAGCTGCCGGGATTGGAATCGGCGCCCATATGGGATCCCAAGGCATGCAAGGCGAGGACTTTAACCATTATGCTATCATGCCAGGCCCAAAGCAATGCATTTTGAATGTCCTGACTAGTAAAAACAGCTATATATACAAGTGATGTTGATTTAATCATTGTATGATGTCAACATGTAACCAAACATAAACAAACTCCGCATAAACCAACAGCTGGACTCTGGGGTTGAGCCAGGTACCCAGGCCAGGCACTCCAACACAGAATGGGGGAGTCCTAACTAACAGAACGAACAGGCGGTAGATTTCTGAAAAGTGGCGGGGGTGATGTGCCAGGAGTTCATGTTCTCCAACATCCCAAGCCCTGGTCAGATTCGAGACTTGTGTCTTTTGTAAAAATAGGATGTTTTGATCGGCACAGGATGCACTCCACATTGCAAGTCACAGTATAAGCCCAACTGGCATTGAAACCGGGGCTCTGTAAGTCTGCTGCTCTCAGAGTTCGCAGCCTGGCCCATGCAGTTCACGTATGAACATCCCAAAGCATAAAGGATCATTGAAATGGCCGGGATTGAGGCAGCAAATTCCTTGTTCAGGGGAAGATATGTAAATTCTTAGCATGAAAAGAAAGTGGAAAATACTGGAATACTCAGGTTAGTCCTGAGAAGACTGAATAAGTAAATGCCCTGTGGGAAAGTGGGGTTCTGGGTCATTAGTCTGGGAGCTGCCTTTGCATGGTGAGAGCAGGGATTTTGACTTAGATGGGGTGTTCAGGTGGGGCAGCTCTGCAGGGACTAACCAACTCCATAGAGAGCAGAGACCCTTGAAGCACCAAAAGCACATTCTCGCAGGTGAAGAATTATAGTTAAGCCATCACGCTGATCCCTCAATGATGGGATTTCTGATCCAAGCATGCCAGACACTAAGGCAGATGTCTCATTCTTTGCTTATCCCGCATTTGCAAATTTGCAGCAAAACAAAGCCCCCTCCTGGCAGTATCTTTTCCAGCACTGGAAGGCTGCTTTGGTCTTCTGTATGCAGCCTCACGTTTCAAGGCAGGTGCATCTGAGAGGACCGAGGGCACGGAGCCGCAGGGTGCGAGCACACGCTCCCTTTGACATCGGCAGAGGCCTCACTGCGCATTTGTGACATTCTTTGCAGGAGCTGGCTGTGCCAGTGGTCCACGATGGGGGCGCCCTCCTGGCTTTTGTCTGCGGTGTCATCTACACGGTTTTGCAGTCCATCATCTCTTACAAATCGTGTCCACAGTGGAACAGCCTCTGGACCTGCCACGTACGGATGGTCATCTCTGCCGTTTCCTGCGTAGCTGTCATCCCCAGTATCCTTCTCGCATTGGTCAGCTGTTGAGGGCTGGGGGCGGGGGGAATGTCAATGACCTCATCAAAGCCTGAAAAGGAAGACTTTATTTAGGGCCATGAGGGGCAGGAGTGGGACCACTGCAGAGTCTTGCAGTGAACGAGCAGGACTAGGGGCTCAACTCCAGACACAGCCCAGTCAAGCAGGAACTGCAGCCAAGGAACAGGGCAGGGACTTGTCAATTATGAAGACTGTATCACGGGCTGGTGCTGTGGCATAGTAGAATAAGTTTCTGCCCTCAGCACTGGCATCCTGTATGGATGCTGTTTTGAGTTGCAGCTGCTCCTTTTCTGATCCAGCTCCCTGATAATGGCCTGGAAGAAGCAAGAGAAGATGGCCCAAGTCCTTGGACCCTCCACTGCTCATATGGGAGACCCAGAGGAAGCTCCTGGCTCATGGCTTTGGCCTGGTCCAGTCTGACTGTTGCAGTCATTTGGGCAATGAACCGGCAGGTGGAAGATCCATCTCTTTCTCTCCCACTCCTCTTCTTCCTCTCCTTATCTCTACTTTCCAAATAGTAACAAAAAAATAAATCTTTAATAAAAGGAAATATCTCAGCCTGGCTTGGTCACATCAAAAGAGTCGTTGGGGGAAAGAATGATGGGAAAGGAGAAGGAAGGAAAAATGTAGGAACACTTGAGTCTCTGTTTACTTTCCTTCCCTCAAGTTCAGTTTCACGAGCCATGTGAAAATATTTAGTTTTCTTTCTAGTGCTCGTCTAAAGATGCCAAATATTGATACTGTTCTTAAAGTGATGGGACCACGATGTCCCGAGGGGCTCGACTCTCCTCTGCATATCGGTGGCAAGACAGTTTGATCCACTTAACCATAATTAGGAGGTTTTTAAAAGCTCTACTTCACTTAATACCAATAAGGCCATTAAAATGCATTTAGCCTTTTCTTACAATCACTGATTTTCAAAATGAAATTCACTTCATTTTCTAATTCAACAATGTCAGAAGAAAAAAGATTGCTTATGTCTGTATATTTTGATTCACAGAAAAGGACAAAAATGTATGCATTTGAAAGGCAGAGGAAGAGAGATGGATCAACATCTCCATTGCGCAGAAGTGTTCAACAGCTGAGCCTAGGACAAACTGAAGCCAGGAGCCTGGAACTCTAGCTGGGTCTCCTACATGGGTGGCAGGGGCCTCAGTACTTGGGTCATCTTCTACCTCCCAGGATGGGTTGGAAACTGACAAGCCAGGCGAACCACCGTGGGGCTCAGGTGTCCTAAGAGGTGACTACCACAACACCCACCCCAAAGAAAGTTCTTTATTTCCTCTCTGCCTTTGTCTTCTCTTTGAATAAGTAATCAACACAGAGGAGAACTGTGGTCTTTAAGGGAAGGAGGAGTTCACATAGTAATTTCTGTTTCTAGAAGATTCTTACTTTGAGCCAGGATAAGAGGTGACAGCCCCAGACAAACATGGATTATGCCTTGTATCAAACTAGCCTGAATCGGTTCATCCGCGTGAGCAGATCACTTGTCTTTAACTTGAGCACAGTATTATCATTTCCTTAAAAGAAATTTATTTATTTAATATTCATTTACTTTTATTGGAAAGGCAGTTTTCCAGAAAGAAAGAAAGACAAAGAGAAAAATCTTCCATCCACTGGTTCATTTCTCCCAAATGGCCACAACGGTAGAAGCAGTGCTGATCTGGAGCCAGGAGCCTCTTCCAGGTCTCCCATGCAGGTGTAGTCCCAAGGAGGGAGCCGGATGGAAGTGGAGCAGCCAGGACAGGAACCAGCATCCATACAGGATCCCTCAGCCTCCCCACTCCCCGGCTTGAAGGAGGAGGATCAGCCAGTCAAGCCATCATGCCAGGCCCCCTTAAAAGGCATTTAAAGCGTCTTTATCACCACCTTTTTCCTTACCGTCATGCTTCTGTGAAATGGTGTCATCTGATTGTTAAAAAAAACACACTGGGTGAAGCAGGGGTGCTTCCCACCTTTCCTTTTAGCAGATCTGTTATTCTGGCTTCCAAAGCTCACCCAAAGCCATCGCCAGCATCACTACCAGGTTGCTTGGGCCGAGACCCAGTCCTTCCAGCCCTGGCCTTGTTGCTTTGCATCCTTATGTTCCCTGTGGCTGTGCCTCGTCCCCTTGGCCTCTCTAGAGCTGTAGTGCTGGTCCAACGCAGTAGCCCTGCCTGAATTCTGCACACTTGAAATGTGCTTGTCGCAACTCTTACACAGAATCCCAGTCTCAAAGATGTAGTAAAGAAAAACATTTTGAAAAAAAAAATATCTCATGATCTCATGAATAGTTATATTATTATACACTGAAACAATATTACCAATGGTAATACCATCTGATTAATTATATTTATCAATATAAAAGATACAATGTTGCTGTTATTAGATTGACAATCATTCTTTGGTTAAATAAGATATGTGATCAGGATTCATCTCACACTTTGGGAGACAGTGAGAGGAGCTCCAAGTCTTCAATGAAGTGTGTTGACCTTCCCCATCCCAACTTTTTTCTTAAGATTTATTTTCATTTCTATTGGAGAGGCAGATTTATAAAGAGAAGGAGATACAGGGAAAAAAATCTTCCATGTGCTGGTTCACTCCCCTAGTGGCCACAACAGCTGGAGCTGAGCTGATCCAAAGCCAGGAGCCAGGAGCTTCTTCCAGGTCTCCCAAGGCTTTGGGTCATCTTGTGCTGTTTTCTCAGGCTGCAAGCAGGGAACTGGATGGGAAGCGGAGCAGCCAGGACAGAAACTGGCACCCGTATGGGCTTCTGGTGCATGCAAGGCAAAGATGTAGCCCCTGAGCAATCATGTCCCCCACCTCTATAATTTTATTTTACTCAGTTCCTTTAAAGTTTTAGAAATGTGGCTATTAGAAATTTTATTTCTATTGTGAGTTGTATTTGAAACATACGGAGGGAGAGAAAGACATCTTCCACCTGCTGATTCACTCCCTGTATGCTCGTAGCAAGCAGGTTTGGCGAGGCTGAAGTCAGATGACAGACGCTTCATCCAGGTTTGCCATGTGAGTGGCAGAGGCCCAAGGGGAAGGCGGGAAGCTGGCTTGAACAAGCAGCGAAGCTGGGACTGGGTCCTGCCAGGTCACTCCAGCGTTGTGGTGCAGCCAGGTAAGCCACCGTGTGCAGTGCCTGCATCCATACGGCGAGTCGGTTTGAGCCCTGACTCCCGTCGTTCTGACCCAGCCCCCTTGCTCCTGCATCCTGGGAAGCGTCAGAAGACATCTTGCTCCACTACGTGGGCCTCTGCCACCCCAGAGGGAGACCCAGCTGGGCTTCTGGGCTCGTGGCTTTGGCCGGCCCAGTGCTGGCATTTAAGCACATTTGAGGAATGAACGAATAGATAGGAGACTTATCTGTGTGTATCATTCTACCTTTTACAAAAGAAATATTTAAAGACGGGCCTGGCGCGGTGGCGCAAGTGGTTAAGTCCTCGCCTTGCACGCCCGGGATCCCATATGGGCGCCGGTTCTAATCCCGGCAGCCCCGCTTCCCTTCCAGCTCCCTGCCTGTGGCCTGGGAAAGCAGTCGAGGACGGCCCAAAGCTTTGGGAGCCTGCACCCGCGTGGGAGACCCAGAAGAGGCTCCTGGCTTCGGATCGGCATAGTATCGGCCCGTTGCGCTCACTTGGGGAGTGAATCATCGGACGGAAGATCTTCCTCTCTGTCTCTCCTCTCTGTATATCCGCCTTTCCAATGAAAAAATAATAAAAATAAATCTAAAAAAAAAAAAAAAAAAAAAAAAGAAATATTTAAAGAAAATATTTTTTTTTTAAAGAAAAACATTCCCGAGGCATAATCATGTTTTCCTGTCATGATTCAAACTGTTTTCATAATTGAGTGTTAAGGTTTAACATTGCCGGAAGTGAAGGCAGCTGGCTGGACCACAGAGATGTTAGTAAACAGTGTTAACATGTCACGATGGTGCCAGTAGTAGAGCCGCCTAGCTCGTGCTTACGAGGACCTGTTTTCTGCCCTAGTTTCCTTAACGATGCCCCTTTCCTCAGTGATTGCCTGTGCCTCACTCATTTCCATAACCAAGCTGGAATGGAATCCGAAAGAAAAGGTAATAACCTCGCGGTTGTTCACGGGGAGACTGGCAAGCCTGCCCACACGAGCACGCTGCCCGCAGGAGCCCGCTGCTGGCAGAGCCCGTGCAGCAGCCCTGCCATTTCCTAGACAAAGTCCCATGCTCCAGCAGGTTCCTGGAAAATGGAATGAAAAGATGGGCTTGTTTTGGTGCAAAAGTATGAAATCCATGCAGAGGGTTTTTTGTGACAGGCTTTTCCCTGTGGTGGTTGAAGGGCCTTTGCCTCGTCTATCATCAGTTTGCTGTTTGGTTATTTTGTATTGCGTGTGTTGCTATTCGCTGCCAGATGTAGGGGCGGAGGGATACTCCCATTCACTCCCTGAATGTTTGTTGGAATACTCTGGCAAAGACTAAACAAGGGAGCTGATACAGGAATTTGTTAACATGCATACGGGGGCAGGGAAGTCACAGAAACGCACATGCCCCCTTTCCCTACAGGAAACGGGGACAAGGAGAATACAGATTATCGAGGGACAAGTGAGTGAGATTTAGAACCTGTTGGGCTTGTAGGATGTACAGAATGCTGGGTGACATCTCCAAGGCCCGTGAAATGGACGGTGGCTTGGCAATGGCTTCCTGTGAGGCTGAAGGGGAGGACAGTGACCAGAATGAGTCCTGGTGTATTCGTGGTTGTCAGCTTTTCCTCTTGTAGTGAATTCAGCGGACGAGAGCGCAGGGAAGGGGCCAGAGCTGGTGGCTGCTTCAGTGGGCGCAGTTTCCAGAGGCTGAGGGCACCTTGCAGGAGGGAAGGGGGGACCCGTAGGCAGGCCAAAGGGATGCGATGGTTCCAAGGACACACGCAGGTCTCAGCACCAGTCTTAGCAGTGTGGTTTTCTGAGCTCCCAGCCAGCCTGATCCCATCTGGTTTCAGGGATTCTTTTTAAAACTAAGCTTGGTAAGAATGTGGGCATTTCAGGGCAGGTGAATAAAGTGTGTGGAAGTATGTGTGGGAGAGTGAGGGTGTGAATGCCAAGGACAGCGGAGGAGGAGAGCGGCTTGTTCCAAGATGGAGAGCAAAGACAACTGTGGCCAGGCACGGCTCTCCCGGGGAGCAGTGGCCTTACAAGGCAGGCAGGGAGGCTCAAGCTTGACCGAGGTTATTAGAGCACGCCTCCGGAGACTTCTGCCCAGCAAGAAAACTGCAAGTATTATGGGATAAGCGCCAGGCAGAAGCGACCCGTGGTGTGGAGTGAAGAGAGCTGAGCATTAGGCGACAGGAAGAGGCTAGTTCTGTTGCTTCAGATTTCCAATCCAGAGGAGCTAATATTGGAAGTGACAGAGGAGACATGTTTGATGGGCACTGACAAGTGACACGTACAAGCAAGAAGGCACAAGTTGAGTCCAAGATGACTGTCAAGATTTTATCTTGGGTGAGCCAGACAGCGTGTTGCTGGGGACCAGAGAAAGAGTGCCTGTGACAGGGCCGATGATTTCACAGGCAGACGTGGGCAAGTGTGGATTTTAGCATTCTGACGCCAAGTCCCTCGTGAGACATCAAGGTGGACCGTCCACTGAGAGATGTGACACGGACTGGGCTTCCATCCTCTCCGTCCTCAGTTTGGAGGTGGCCAAGGCACAATGCTCCTTTGGTTGTCCCAAGTTGGGGTCCATCTAACCCTAGCAGCCTCCACCACTCCCACCCACGTTTGACCCGAATCAGCTACAAGTCGTGTCCCTAAGCCGTGGCAGGGTTGGCATGTCGGCTCCAGCCCCCGAGATCAGCCCCATGGTCTGTTGGCGGAAAGCTTGGCGATGACATTGCTGGGCAGCTGGTGGCTGGAGAGGAATGAGGATCACAAAGTGAGCGCTGAGAACGCGCAGGCGTACACAGAGGTCGTGCGTGCTGTCCCAGCCCTGGCCATCACCGTCTTCCAGGAGCCATCCAGAGGAAGCTGCAAAAACCCTGAGCACAGGGGGGCATTCACGTCTGATGAGATTGTTAACACTGCTTCACAAATGGACCAGTCCTCTTCAGTCCTAGAACTTTCTGGAACCATTAAAGAGATCCGGGGCACTGCCCAGCCCGTGGCTCACACGTGCCACTCTCATGATGTTGTATTGAACATCCACAGTGGGGTCCTGAAGAAGTACAAAAGCAGAATACTCCAACAGAGCAACAGGCAGATCTGAGCCCAGCCCTACGGAAACCCAGACGGAGTTTCTGAGCCCTTAGGCCACAGAAGAAGGGTGGCCAAGGAAGGTGGTAGCTTGTAGTCATTGCCAGCGGGACGTGCCTCCATTTGTTGAGTGCTATGTGTAACACTTTAAAAGATAAAAGAAATGCTGAATTGAAGTGTACACAGCATGTTGTGAAGATGCCAATGGGTTCGCACCGGAAGCTCACTGTGGGAGCAGAGGCGGCACCCGGAAGCCAAGGGACGGAAGGGGATGAGCTATGGCAAATGCAGCCACACAGTGTGTAGGACAGAGCGCGCTGAAGGTGGGCAGAAGGGAGCCCCCGCCGGTCATCAGGTTAGGTTTGGAGAAATGGCTTATTCAGTCACCTGTCGGCCACATGTCTGGGTCAGAGATGAGAGAGAGGGGAGAAAGAGCTTGGAGACAGGATGGGCGTCAAAGAGTTCTTCCAGACAGGACGGTGGTGGGGACTGGACAGGGGGGAGCTGGGCAGTAATGTGAGCGAGGATCTAGCCGAGAATTTGAAAAGTGTTTCCTTTGATGGTGACTTTAAAATGAACAAGCTGGTGAACAGGTCAGACACAGGAAGAAAGTACTTTTTTTTTTTTAATCTGAAGTTTGGGAATTTAGCCCCATTTGTAGGGGCTGGTTTGATGATGGGGTACAGCCGGATGATAGCCCCCATAGCAGTAGGAAGACTTCGCTTCTCCTTAACTTAGTTTCAAGCATAGCTAAACAAAACTGCAGCCATCTGCTGCTGTAAACACGCTTGCTAGCTGATTGGCTTAACGTGTGGCCTAGATGTAAATGGATTGGATCACCAAAAATTATTGAATGGTTTTTGGGGGGTGGGAGTCGGTAGCTGTTGTGCACCAATGGGAGCTTAAAAGCCCCCTGCCTTTGCCGTGCAGTACGATGGTTCCTGGAGTGTAGCGAGATCTGCCATCGCCGAGCTTGCCTAATAAAGACTCCTGCTCTTACCCTGCACTTGTGTCCTGTGTGGTCTCTCTTGGTAACAGTCTTGCCATGGGTGATAACCTTTTTCTGAGACTTTTCAGCGCAGTGCCGCGTGTAGTTCACTCGGTTACCACAAGGGGGAGGGCCTCTACCGCGAATCGAACACAAATCAGTGTATTTTCCCAGGCAGTTAAAATGTTACATTCCACTTTCTATCCTAAAAGCGTGAAAAGTACATGGTCTCCTCTTTACTCCATCACTGACAGCTACCCTTGTTTTACCCTCCATCCTTGGGATCAATGGCTGCAAACAAAACCCTCGATGTGAGTTCCTCGGGTAATGATATAAGGGCCCCCCAAGTTTCTGTGCAGCATTTTGCTGTACACTGGCTGGCTTGTTAGGGATGGTGAGTCACTCTCAGGTCTCATTTCACACCGCAGAGCTCCAGCTGCGCCAACCTGCACACAGGTGCGTCGAAGTTGTCAGGAATCCTGGTTCAAAGCAACTTCGTTAATAGTAGGCTAAACAAATTCACCAGCTGCCCCTGGTTGTCCTGTCTTCGTTGTCCAGGCATGACCTGCAATGATGCAGGCGTTCTGTTGCTGGCACTGAACAAGGAAGCTGAGCTGTTCGCTCTCTGGCGTGGTCTGCTCGGTTTCCCCCGGGATGGGAGGACAATGGGCCGATGAGACGGTCCCTGGGGAGAGTGAAGAGCATTGGCTATGGGATTGGGACATCCCTCGATTGTGTCTTTTTGGATGAAAAAACGGAACCCCAAAACTTGCAGTAGAACATCTGCGTGCTCATTCTTTGTCACCCATGGCAGAGCAGAAAGAGGAAGAGTGTGGTGGAGGGGGAGGGGCAGACTGAGTCTTCGGGCCGGATTTGAGATGTGCACCAGTCAGAATGTAGATGTGCGTTTGGGACTTGGAATTTAAAAATGCTTTTACATAGCTTTGCTATTCATACTCTTTCTCTCTCTCTTTCTCTCTCTCTCTCTCTCTCTCTCACACACACACACACACACCAAGCGGTGTTTTCATTGTTTCCTTTCTGAACACAGAGTTGAGTTGATGAGGCAAAGTCCCCTGGTTCCCCCCCCCTTTATGATCCAGAAAAAGCTTCTGAAATAACTGCATTTCTGCTCTCTCCACAGCCTGCCTTACTGGAGGAGGGCTCTTCCAAAAGCTTATAGGAAAAAGGGATTGATAGATGAGTTTATTTTGGTGCAATGTTTTTTTTTTAAATTCATGCACACAGGGGAAAGGACGGACTGCAAAGATATTATGAACAGTATTCATGGATTTCAATTTTTTTTTCAGCTCCATAGATGAATCTTTTAACTACAGCAGTTTTCCATGAACTTCTGAAAGTGTCCTGGTATTGCTCAAAGCCACGCTTGAGGTGTAGGCTAGAGTGAGTCTTTTAGGCTAAATCCTATTTCTTTGTCGTTGCTGTCAGGATTATATGTACCATGTGGTGAGTGCCATCTGCGAGTGGACCGTGGCCTTCGGTTTTATCTTTTACTTCCTCACATTCATCCAAGATTTCCAGGTAAGTATTTATTCATTCAAATGTTAGTATTTGTCAACAACTAGAATAAGTTAAAAAAAAAACAAACATTTTTTATTTTAAAGTGCCCTTTCTTTTTACTCTTAATTTGCTTGGGGGTAAAAATGTGTGTTGTGCAACTTAGTTTATTAGCTTGTTCCCAAAGGGAAACATCTTAACAGCTTTGCCAAGCAATGAAATGCTCATTTGCCCTCTGCCATTTGATGCTAATTGTCATTCTGGTTGTTTTCCTGCTGGGGAAGTCTCACTCATTCCAAATCATTGAAATTCTAAAACAACTGAAAAAAAAATTTTTTTTTAAACTTGAAAAATATTCCCAAGGCACAGATAAAGTGGGACCTACCAGATTTGGCTACAAGAGAAAAAAAAAATCCTACATTTGGAAAAAAGCTTGACAGGTTCTAGGAAGCCAGGACAGTTCTATAGGGCGTGGCTCAGGTTAACCCACAGCACGGTGGGGTCATTCCTGCGGTGGTACCAAGCTGTTGGAGCTGTCATCGGCAGCCCCAAATCTCCCCTAATCGTTTTTTTTTTTCCTTCCCTTCCCCTTTTAAACAGAGTGTCACCCTAAAGATATCTACAGAGATCAATGGTGATGTCTGAAAAAAGAAGAGTTCTGTCTCTGTCTCCCTCAGGGAATGTCCCAGACAAGTTGGAGAGGTGCAGAAGACCAGCAGGGTCTGGACTCCGCCCTGAGGCCGGTCCAGGACTTGAATGTCATTAAGAATTCCCCGTAGTGGTTCTGTCCCCAAAGGCACGTTTCCCTGGAGAAGGCACGGACGCACCCGGCACTTGGAGCAATGCATCAATGCCTTTCTAGGTAGACACTCTTTCATATCGACATTTGTACACAGGAGAGAGAAGATGTTACAGGAAATGCAAAGATCCTATTTTTGTACTGAGTTTACAGGCTTTTGTCTGTGTATGAGTACTCTAAGGTGCTTACGTAGTGTTGAGGGCTCATTTTTACATTGTATTTATACAGAATGTAGTATAGGATTTTTTTTTTTTAAATCACGAGAGCATTTGTAAAATTCTACTTAGAGTGGTCATGCACCCAAATCTCAAAAATTTATTTAATAACGGAACACTAAGTTACACTGGCTTTTAGTCAAGCTGAGCAACAGAGGCCCGCCTTCCTGCATCACTGCCCACGCACCTCCTCTCTCAGGCACCATGGGAGGCCACGTCTTCACGTCCCGCCGCCTCGTTGCTCCGTGCGCCCAGGACCGCGAGTTGGCAGTGTGTGGCGGAGGCAGGTCCAGCTGAGTCACCTGGCAAGGCAGACTAGGAGCCGCAAGTCCTTCCTCTCTGGTTCCTGGCGTATGGCTGCCACGCGGCCCACGCCAGCGCACACGCCCCTGAGAGCCGTGGCCGGAACTTGGCAGGTGCAGGAACTTGGCAGGTGCAGGAAAGTGGCCGGTGGCAGGTGCACCGGATTCGCTCCTCCTCTGAGTGCCTGTGGCTGCACACCCCGGAGCAGCGTGGGACCTTCGAGCCAGGCCCTGGGGGCCAGCCCAGCCTCCAGAACACACCCAAGTCACCAGCGACAGGTGGAAAAACCAAACACCACCCCAAACCACAAACCCGTAAGGGGAACGTCGGTGCTGAAAGAGCGCAGGGGTGAGACTGGCTGGTCAGCCCCCTCTGCCATGGCCTGCCCTGCCTCCTCTGAGTGTCGCACGGTGGGAAGCCACTAAACGTGTCCCGATGTGCTGTAACTGGTGATGCTGCAGTTCCCCGTTGTCACACTGAAACCCAAAGACACTGACCGACGCCGCGTCAAGCCTTCACCCGCCGAAAGAGAGAATGTACCTGGTCCGTGGAACCTGCAGTGGAGTGAGTCCACGCGTGTGTCTGGCTTGGAGCAGGTATCACCTGTCAGCATTAAACTGTCACGTGACCGTGTTTGCACATCCCTCCCTATAGTTAGACCGGAAGCCCCTGTGGGCAGACGAAGTGACCTTTGTAAACCCAGCGGTTCGCACAGTGCCTCCTTGCATCCCATAGGTGCTTAATAAATATTCATTGCCTACGTGCATGAATACATGCATAAACCTCTGAAAGACCATCTGGAGTACTGCCTCGTGTGTGAGCCCTGTTTGATGATTTTGTTTTTGCTTCCTGAACGGTGCCGCTGTTTGGGTCTCCCCGCGCTCCAATGACAACTCTCCCCGATGTGGACAAGTTACACAGAGTTACAGGGACTGGACGGCACACCTGCCTGGGCAAACTGAGAAGGGCAAAAGCCAGAGTGTCCCATTCTGCTGACTCCATGCAACTGGTAAAGCTGGCCAAAAATCACCTTTTGGGATTATTTTTGTTTCCCATGAATTTGTATTTCCTTGGACCTCACGGATGGAAGAGTAAAATAAAAGGAAATATTTATTTTAGTAATTTGTGTGTCCGTGAAATTGTAAAATGCCGCCTGGGGGTTACTACAAAGGTGCACGTCCGAGAGATGGTGTAATTGTGTCATTTTAGCCTCCGGTTTACTGTAGTTCTGCACCCGGGCCTGACTGGGCTACCTTTGTGCAGATTGTCAAACATGAGTTTCAGAAGTTCCTATCCTTCGAGACCTTTAGAGTTATAAGTGTCTGAAGTGCAACTGCTGAAGGAGAAAAAAGGCAGCTCACTGGCTCAAGTCCCTGAGAAGTCCAGCCGGGGCTGGCGTCGGGACACCTGAGTCAGACAGAGCCTCCTGGACTCCCCCTCATCCGCTGGCGTCATTCTCAGGCAGACTATCCCGGAGTGAGAGTGAGAGGGCTTCTGGAACCTTCCAGCCCCCAATCCATCCAGTGAAAAGAGAAGGCTCCTCAATGTTTCCAGCAAAAACTCAGTTTTGAAAAATCCCTGTCTCTGACGGGTTGGCTTGAGTCACATGCCTAGGGAGGAGTGTTGTTCCGATTGGTCAGACCCAAGTCACATGTCCACCTCAGGAGCAAGCAGGGGTCAACGGCACCCAAACTCCTGGGCTGGTGGTAGATGAACGTTGTAAAAAAAGGGGCGGGGGAGGGGAATGAGCTGGAGCTTGGACCAACCAAACAGGAGCACATCCCCCAGCAATCCAGTCCTCACCTTCCCCACCTGAAGAAATTCCTCGCACTTACAGTTCTTTCAGATCGAAAAGCAGAGGTGAGCCTTTTAGGTAAGAGATGCCTTCCGCTAACCTCCAAGTTCTGTTCACGTTTTTTGCGGCTCTGTGCTTCACTGACCCCACCCCACCCCACCCCCCATCCCGGGCCTGTCAGACAGTTGGCCATCTCAGGTGAGACATCTGTACCGAGAGCTTCAGCGACCTGCAAGCACTTCCCCGCCAGCAGGCTCTGGTTCCAGCCTGGGGGGTTCTTTGCCTGATTCCTCATCAAATAGCCTTTCCCCCTCACTTCTTCTATTTTTTTTTTTTTAACCACTAACAGAAAGGATCCCACAGAAATTGCAAACTGCATTTCATAAACCAAATTAAGTACATCAGTGTTGTGTGTGTTTGGGTTTCCTAACATCTCTTACATGTGGCATTGTCCCATGTTCCCATTCTTTGACTCAGTTGGAGACATCTTGGCGTGGTGTTTGGGCCTGGAATGAGGAAAGGGGAGTGGGAGGGAGTAAGTGGTCTCCCGTGCTCTCCCACCCCCTCCTCCTGGCACGCCAGCAAGCCCAGCCGGCTCCCCACTCACATACTCTTGGTCTGGCTCCGGATGCTCGGCATTCTCAAGGCCAGAATGTCATGCGTCTGTGTCGTGGCTATTGCACAAGAGAACAACCACAGCATCCAGCCCTCGGGGAGAAGCTTCTGGCACTGCTCCCCGCCTCCCCAGCAGGCTTGTCTCCCGCAGGGAAGGGCAGCAGCGGCTGCACTCATTTCAGGGTGGTGGTGGTGGCCTCCAAAGTCTGTACTTGGAAAAGGACAGGCCTGCAGAGCCTAGAGTTTCAGTAGTAGAAAGGGAGGAGAGGTGGGGGAGGGAGAGTGGAGGGAGGAGAGGAAGGAGGGGAGGGGGGAGAGAGGAAGGAAGGGGAGGGGAGGGGAAAGGAGAGGAAGAAAGGAGAGAGGAGAGGAGAGGAGGGGGGGAGGGGAGGGGAGAGGACAGTTTCCGTCTGCTGATTCATTTTCCAAATGGCTGTGATAGCTAGGGCTGGGTCAAGGCTGCCCAGAACCAGGAGCTCCATCCTGGTCTCCTATTTGGGTGGTAGGAGCCCATTGCTCAGGCCGTCTTCCACTGCCTACCTAGATGCAGTAGCAAGAAGCTGGGCCAGAAGTCAAGCAGCCAGGACTGAAACCAGGCACTCCACATGCCTGGGTCTATCTTGCCGTGCCACAACTTCTCCCTCCTCCTCTGTCCCGCTCCCCTCTCCCCACAAACTGGATGCACATTTTCCCAAAAGGTAAAAACAGTGAACTGCTATTAGCTGGAGTCCTGGCTCAGGGCAGGAAGATAATCTCCAGGTAAATGGGATTCAGCTGCCTCCCTCACAGCCTTTACTGCCTGAGCCATTTACTGTTGTTTTAAAATGTTTAAATGAGTAATCCCCATTCAAAAGTTAAAATAACAAAAAGGCATATGATGAAAAGACTCTGTTTGCCTCTGCCATTTGCCCCCACTCACTCATACCCTCATACATACCCTTATGAGAAGGCAAGACAAATATTTTTAAATGTTTTCCGTTCAAGTATTACCCTATATGATTGTTAAATTCAGCTCCATGCCTTGGAGATGTTTCAACCTTTCTTATCTGCCTCTCTCTCTCTCCCTCACTTCCTTCTCTCATTCCTTCCTTCCTTTCCAGGCTCATGGATTCTTTTCTTTCACGTTAACTCTTACGCCATTACCCATATTTCACTGTATGGCTGTGCCATCATATACTTCAGAACGTCTTCTCCAAACTTCTACTCCAAACTTCTACAATTCCAGGTAACTGGTGTGTGCAGCTATTGTTTTACACATGTGCAATGATAGCTAGCTCTCCGAGGAATCCCGTGGGTGGGATGTGGGGCCCGTGGCAGCTGGAACGTGACAGATGTGGTCATCTTGCCATTGCAGCCCTTTCACATGAACACTCCTTCTGGAAATCACCCAACGAGCTGTACACACTTCCTTTCCAACCAGGAACACTGCACATCCACTCACCTCTGGACACTGCACCAGAGTACCTGAGGTCTAGGTCGGGCAGGGCTGCGGGTTCTGTGGAATGTGTTATGGGACAGAGGCCAGCCAACCTGACCACCAGCCCTCTACTAACAGCCCCCTCTGTTTCCCATCACCTTTAAGCCCCTACACTTAGGGTTCACTAGCATAAGAGGGCAGGTGGGAGAGGCTGTGGGCCCTCCTCTCTGGGGCAGCCCAGCTCTTGACTGCCCTCTACCTCCTGCTCCAACTTCCGCTCCAGAGTCTCTTCAGCACACTTGGGTTTCCCTTTGTGACCTGGCCCTGTCAGCACAGCTCTTGGAATATTTTCCTTTTCTACCCACTTCCTCCTTTCTCATTGTCAACTTAAGCATAATTTTTCTTGAAAAATTTTTTTTTTCCATTTGAGAGTGTTCCCTCCACTGGTTCACTTCCCACTAGGTCTGGGCTATGCGGAAGCGGGGACCCAGGGACTCCATCCAGATCTCCCGTGCGGGTGACAGAGACGCAGGCACCTGAGCTCTGCCTTACAGGGTCTGCATCAGCAGATACCTGGAACCACGTGTAGGCGCGAGGATTGAGGCTGCACATCTCAATTCTAGACTACACGCTTGCTGCCACTATCCCCTTCCTGTAAAAAGATTTCTTTTTTTTTTTAAACACAAAGGTTAATGTGAGCCAAGTGGTTGAGGTTTTAGGGAAGCTTCTGCATAGAAAACCTTTTAGGTAACACTTTGATATTCCAGCTAAAAAGTAAAATTTGAGTCATAGCTCTCAAATGATTGACGTCAGTGTGGTAACGCTAGCTGAGAAAATACTACACTGGTTTTTCAGTTTTTACCAGCGTGAGTACAGAGATATGGTTACATAAACATCCTTATGGCTATTTCTGTAACCTTAACCTGTTGTCTGCAGAAACCAAAACATACACACATGGGTTTCTGAGTGGGGAGCTGGTAACGCACTGAGGGAGATGCCTGCATCCCACGTGGGGACATCTGCTTCAGTACCAGCCTCTGGTCCATGACTCCAGCTTCCAGCTAAAGCCTGTGCTGAGGTGGGTGTGCTGACTCAAGCCACTGTGGTCCTGCCATTCACAGGAGAGACCTAGCCCAGCCCCAGACATCACAGACATTGAGGAGTAAATCAGCAGACGGGAGGTCGTTCTGCCTCTCTCTATCACCTTGTTACTCAAGGAACTATACACATATATAGGTATGTGTGTGTGTAGATAATGTGTATCATGTCATATACTGTATATATTTATGTCAAATTAAGATTCACTAGCTAATCCTTAAAAGGGGTGGAGAAGGACAAGAGGCAGAGGAAGTGAGAGTAAGTACGGAGCAAACGGAGTTAATGATGAATCGGTCGAGGCGCAGATGTGTCTGCTTGTGCTCTTTCTGGTGCTTCTTTGCAGGCCTGTTACTCCCCATTAGAAAATGTGTGAAAGATCTGGGTAGTGGGGCTGGTGCACTGACTCAACTGGGCAATCCTTCACCTCCAAGCACCAGTTTGTATCCAAGCTGCTCCACTTCCCCATCCGCTTTCCTGCCTGTGACCTGGGAAGAAGCAGAGGATGGCCAAAGCCTTGGGGGACCCTGTACCTGTATGGGAGACCTGAAAGGAGCTCCTGGCTCCTAGGTTCAGATCGGCTCAGCTCCGGCCATTGTGGAAGAGTGAACCAGTGGAGGGATGATCTTTGTCTCTCCTTCTCTCTGCAAACCTGCTTTTCCTTAAAAAGAAATTAAACCTTAAAAAACAAAAAGAAATATCTGGTTGTGCCTCCATAAGGACAGGTCTTGGTTGCACGCACTGGACAGCTAAGACTTAGGGAGCAAGTAATAGGAGATAGTAAAAACGGTGATTTTGAGTGATGCAATCCTTCTCCCCAGGGGAGTTTGAAAGTCGTTCTTCTGCACCCTTGGGCCCTGAGAAGGAGCCCTGGAACAGCAAGGGTCCCGCAGGCCAGTGCAGCTGGAGGACAGGGGCTGGAGCCTTCAGGACTGCTAAGGCTCTGGGGTGTGTGAGGTATGGTGTCTGAGGGCTCTCTCATTGTTGCTGGTTGGTGTGGTAAGAAAGCTGGGCGCTGCCTTGGCCTTGAAAAGACTCCCCTGTGCTGGGCCTCCCCAGGAAGAAGTCCTGGTGGAATCTGGAAAAGATTATTTTAGCTGCCCCTGAATCTGGGGAAAACCAGAGTTTGCTTTTATAACGATGTATTTTACATGTTTATATTGTGGTTAAAAATATGTACAAAATATTATTTTAAG